TCACTCTCTTTTTCATCATCACTTTTGCAATCCTCATGCTCATAAGATTCAATAGTGTTCAGATCTGAAACATCCTTCCCTCACACATCTTCCTCATTAGATATCTTCCCATTTTGAGATTCATTCCCTCCTTAGAGCTCTTAGCTTCAAGATACTCTTTAGGAGGTTTGATTGAAAATATAATCCGCTTCTTTAGAGATTTAAGTGAAGGAAATTTTACAACATATGTCCAAATGTTTCAATGACCACCTCAACAACTTTAGCCAGGAGATCAGGAGTAACGTGGTCCTCTAAGGTTTCAACTTTATCTCAAGGTTCAAACATTAATTCTATCCATGTTTATCAAGCTTCCTTTTCCTTTCAAATATATCTTAATAAATTATGGCCATTTGACGTAAGGACATTTTTATCTCAAATTAACCCAAATAGAGATTAAACATCTAGTATATCTCTTGTTACTCTATGGGATTAAAGCTTGTTGTTGTTGTTGTTATTTCTTTCTCTTTTTATTATACAAACTTGCCATGTACACTCACGAGAAGGAGATGTAATCCCGGTGCGGGTGGTTGGTTCAGGTCGGAGGCGCGGGAAGAGACACACGCGCAGGATGAGATCGGAGACACAAAGGCGTGTTGGCGCGGGTTTTGGATCATAGTCAATAGCAGGAGACACAAGCCTCATGCGGAAGATCGGTCTGGAGGCGTGGGCTGAATGCAGTCGGGAGAGCGATCATGCTACAGTTGGATCCTACAGGCGTGAGTGCAAACAAACAATGGATTCAAGGGCCTCCTATATACGTTTGAGAGAGACGAGAGAGACAACGGGGTGCTCGGGTTTGGCTCTTGAGTGTGGCAAAGAAAGATCGATTGGGCTTCGGCTTCCTATGTGCGGTACAAAGAGATGAGAGGGAGAGATCAAGTGGGCCAGGATCTCACGTGCAACTGAGTTAAAATGGAGAGGGAGAGAGCGGGCTAAGGGCTTTTGAGGTGGGGCCGAGGGAGTTATGTGAGGGAACGAACGATTGTGTCACTCAGGGAGCGGAGCGAACATGCGTTATTTGGGAAGTGCACCAGCATGAGGTGGGGCCAATGGTATATAAATTTAAATTTTTATCTTTTTAATTTTCATTTATTTAATTATAAACTATAAATAATTAAGTTAATCTACTTATTAATTAAGCTAACAATGATTAAAAGATACAAATTCATACTGTAAATCAAGTATATAATTTACGAGCATGAATTATATCTAAATATATAATATAAATTATATTTAAATAAAAAACTTATATGAGAACTAAATTTTTACAAATGTGAAATAAATTTAAATTTTTTTAAAATATTTAAATTTAAAATTTTATAACATGTTATTTATGCGTGAAGTTTCTATAGTTGATCAGTAAATGAGAATATATAGTAACAAATCTACAAATATTATATAGCACAGAATGTTGGTCAGTAAATGAGAAGCAAAAAATAATTTTTGCAGAGATGACAATGCTTAGTTGGATGAGTGGCTATACACTAAGAGACAGCATGTGAAAAAAGTATATACATGATAAGTTGGAGTAACTGCGGTGGCAGATAAAATTAGAGTAGCCTTAGATGGTTTGTTCACATAAAGCGTTGACCTTCCGATGATGGTTAGGATAGTAGATGAATTAGATCTAACCAATGTTAAGAAAAGTAGATGTAGACCTAGAAAGACTTGGTTAGAAATTATTAAAAATTACCATTTCTTTTATTAGATTTAAATGAGAATTTGACCATTAATAGGACATAATGGAGAAAAACGATTCATGTAGCTGAACTCACTTAGTGAGATAAAAACTTAATGTTGTTGTAGTAACAAATCTACTATATTGCATATTTATTACACTAAAATTATATCATTTAGATCTTACTTAAAATAATATTAATATTTATTACATCATTTGGTTTAACACTGCCGTTGCCAGGTCCCAAGTCCTGGATGAGAAAAGTGGATAATTGTGTTAGGTAGTCGACAGTCAGCGTAAAACTTGTCGAACAATAATGACATGAATCCTTTAAGAAATTTTGTTGTACATCATCTGGTTCAAACCCGATCAAAAAAATTGAACATTGAATCAATCCTTCTGGTTTAATATTTGATCCAAATTTCCTTTTTACTCCCTGAGAAAATGAAAATCAAAGTTTGAAAAGAAAAAGAAACAAGTAAAAAAACGAAAGGAAAAAAAAATGTGTAATTTATTCAACACAATCTTGTCACCTCAACATCATCGTCACCACCTCACATATAATGTGATAAAAAAAAACTATTAGAATACTTAAAATCTTGATTTTTGTTTGTTTGGCGCAATAAATAAAACCTCAATACTCTATTCTTAGCAAACCAAAGGATATTCATAGATAATGCTTATTACATAATGAGTATGAACTTTGTGCATTTTCTTAGCACAACGGTAAAAAATATAATTTTGTATATTCATTGTGCAGATATCCAATCCATACAGTTATTTCTAAGCGAGGTGAATTTTGAAAAATTTCAGACACCATATCTTAGGACACCGAACTATGCAAACCTTTCATTGCATGATTAGCATACCCGAACTACCAATAAATGCTCCTAATGTAAGTAATAAACCAGGAGGTTTCCCAGGCTGTTGCGGAAATCCTAAGGCAGTGCAATGGGGGAGACATTCAGGAGTCCATAAGACACAATCGCACGGACCACCACCTTTATGATCCTTAATGAGAGGGACCCACCCATTTGATACACCATGGGAAGAGCACTTCATCAGTATCAAGTGTAGATCAATAATTAAAGGAGAGGGACAGGATACTAGAAGAACTCGGAAGGGCATCGATTGAGAGAACAACTTCTAAAAAAGAAGACAAATGAACACAAACGGTAAGTGCAGTTTGAGCCCAGAAGTTTATCTAAAGTTAAGACAATATAGGCAGAAGACACTGGCCAAAAGAAGGAATAAGAAGTCCTATGAGGTGATGGAGTGTATTGGGCCAGTACCCTATCGTCTGGGGTTACCAAAACCGTCATTCATTTATCCTGTATTCCATGTATCACAACTGAAGCGCACTATCGGAGATATCACACCCTCTTCCTCACTACCAACGACTTTAACTGAGGACATTGAAGTGATTTTGGAACCAATGGAGATCAAGGGAGCACGACAAGGGACGACGGGAACAAAGGAGGTCCTTGTTCAATGGAATGATTTACCAGACTATGAAGCTGCATGGGAAACCTATGAAACGATCAGGAGAAAGTTTCATCCTTTTACCTCGAGGAAAAGGTGTAATTCGAGGAGGGGAGTATTGATATGACAAAAAGATCCAAGGAAGAAATTTCGACCCCTCTTGTGGGGCCCAATAAGGAATTAAAAAGAGGATTAATTAGAAAAAATTTCCTAATTGAATTAAGATTAAAGAGAAAAAGATTTCCTAATTGAATCCAAATTAAAGAGGGAAAGATCTCCTAAGTTAATCCAAATCAAAGAGGGAAATATTTGCTATTTGAATTAAAATTAAAAGGGAAAATTAATAAGAAAAGAAACATGATTTAGAGGAAATTTGAGAGCTTATTTAAGGAGGGGTCTGGGGTTATTTTTCTTCATGCATGTTTTGAGTTTGTTGTAGTTTTCTATAATTTTTTAAGGGCATACTAGCAGCGTCTAGGTTGTTTGATAAAGGCGATCTACCTCTCAAATGGTAGTTCGCTAGTATCTTTTATTTCTTATTGAGTTATTAATCGAAATCAACCAATTGTTCCTCCTAGATCTGCTGTTTTAGATATTTTTCTATGGATTCCCTGTTGTTGCTTGCTGAATTTTACTCCATGGCATATCAAAATTTTAAGGGATGTTTGACAAGAGGAAGGTTAGGAGATGAAGCGGAAGATACAGGGGCTGGGAAAGGAATGGTAGCTTTTCACATAATGAAATGGGCACAAGCCAAAATAGTGAAGAGTTAGGAAAGAGGAAGCTCTATGGAAAAAGCATGGCATAGGACTTCAAAATATATTAAGATATTTTAACAAAATTTCTATAGAGACTTCTATCTTGCTGGAAAAAAAAAAAAAACAAATCTAGCTGTAATATCAAATTGATACACTACAACAACAACATCAAGCCTTTATCCCACTATGTTGGGTTGGCTGCATAACTCTTATGAGGTATACCTATATTTTTTTAACATAAGTCAGATCTAATGCATCTACTCTCCTAATTGGGTCATAAGAAGTATAACATTTATGAGAATGAATCATCTAAGATGACTCTTTCTAATTCTTACTTACCACTAGGGCTACTCTAACCTTTTCAGGTATAAAATTGATGCACTACATAAATAAAAAATAAGAAAATAGTAGAGAATTAAATTTGATATCAAATTGATGCACCAGGTAAAACATAGGCAAATAGAAGAGTATTATAAAAGAATAGTGGAAACAAAAAGAAACCTTACCCGAAAACCTATTACTAAACATATATAAAATCGAAGACTCCTGTTGCATAACTATGAAGAAGAATGAGCCATCAAGCACGCAACAAAAAGGGCCGATAAATTACAAAATTTTCAATAAATTTTTAAGCAAAAAAAACAAAATTAATATTTACAGAAACATCTTAATATTCAAGAAAAAACACGAAAAGGAACATAAGATAGCCTTAATAAAAGACAGGAATTGGATGGTCCTAGTACCTAAAGAACCCAAAAGTGAGATGCTAATACATCAAGAACTCGGAGAACACTACAAAACTAAGAAAATAAAGTACTAAATGCTTAAAAATCATTTAGCTTGTATGCCATTAACCTTTACATTCAACAAAAAAAGTGTCAATGATTTAATACAAATGAATTGTCAACATCCAAATTCAAACCACCAACGTAAACAAAAAATGTAGTTTTCAAAACATCCGTTATGACAACTTAAATTTCAAAAAAAAAAAAAATCAAGAAATAATAAGAATGAAACATAATATAAATAAATTATGGCATTACCTTGATTAAAGATTCAACTGCTTGGTTACGTATATCACATAGCCAGCCCCAACGGTGATCTGGTCCAAGAGACATATCACAAAGCCTCATGTTTCCAAGAGTACCTTCTATAGTAGTAGAACTTGGATGAAACTGAAAATGCGATTAAAAAACACAATAGAAAATTACAATCTGCAAAGTCCATCTATTATTATAAAACATATATAACAAAAGAGGCTTTTGAGCATGAAAAGCATATAACAACAACAACATCAAGCCTTTATCCCACTGTGGGGTCGGCTACATGAATCCTTTTTCTCCATTGTGTCCTGTTAAAAGTCAAATTCTCGTTTAAATCTAATAAAGAAAGGTCATTCCTAATATTTTCTAACCAAGTCTTTTTAGGTCTACCCCTACCTTTCTTAACACAAGTCAAATATAATACCTCTACTCTCCTAACCGGGTCATCGGAAGGCCGCCTTTTTATGTGACCAAACCATCTAAGGCGACTCTCTCTAATCTTATCTTCTACTGGAGCTCCTCCAACCTTTTCACGTATATGCTCATTTCGTATCCTATCTCTAAGGGTAAAGCCACTCATCCACCTGAGCATCCTTATCTCTGCCACACTTAACTTAGTATTATGCTTATCTTTTAATGGCCTGCATTCGGCACTATAAAGCATTGCAGGCCTCACTACCATCTTATAGAATTTCCCCTTAAGTTTGAGGGGTACATTTCTATCACATAACAAGCCCGATGCATTCCTCCACTTCAACCATCCAACTTGAATTCTGCTAATAATATCCCCATCTATTTCACTATCACTCTGAACAATAGATCCAATATATCTAAAACATTTACTCTTATTAATGACTTGATCGCCCAAAGTCATAATCCCCTCACTAGGTCTATTACTACTAAAGTTACACTCCATATATTCCGTTTTAGATCTACTCAAGCGAAAACCTTTAGACTCTAAGGTTGACCTCCATAATTCAAGTTTACATTTAACTCCCTCTCTAGTCTTATCAACAAGAAGAATATCATCAGTAAAAAGCATACACCAAGGTACATCCTCTTGCAAATGTCTAGTGAGAACATCCATGACTAAAGCAAAAAGATATGGGCTTAAGGCTGATCCTTGATGTAACCCAACCGAAATAGGGAAATACTTGGTCAAACCACCTTGTGTTTGAACACAACTAATAGCTCCTGCATACATATCTTTAATGTTTTAACACTGCCGTTGACAGGTCCCAAGTCCTGGATGAGAAAAGTGGAGGGTTGCGTTAGGTAGTCGACTGCTAGCGTAAAATTTGTTGAACAATAATGACATGAAAAGCATATTGCAAAAAATTAAAATAGGACAGGACTATATCTCTCTAAAACATCACCAACACTATCAAAAAAATCCAACCGCTGAGTTAAATTACAATGAAAGAATTATTCACTGATATGACTTTATTAACAACCGGCAACATTTGATGTAAATTATAATTCTTTGAACAATTGCTAAACATGTAAATTTCAGCCAACCGGTTTTCCTATCACAAAAATTTTAGTATTAGAGATTTCATACCGACACTGTGGATTTAATTCTTTTTCATTACCAAAGAGCTACATTTAGTGTTGATTTTAATTATTTGCAAAATAAATTGCAAATAAATTATTATCACATATTAAATTTCATCCCCTTCTTCCAGTGCTTTCTTTTCTCATGTTCCGTAAGACCAAAGCATATTAATCTAATTACTCTCAAGATTTTCAATAGAACATCCTCATCTTTTCTGTATGTTACAACAAGAATTTACAATACCTGGATCCGCCAAGTGAGACTTATAGCACAACTATTTCCCTAGTAGTTAATACTTGAAGATTAAATACTGTGTATTTACTACATCAAGACTGTAAATTAAGGGGAAGAATGAGAAAGGAAGGGACAAGAGATGGAGAGCGGGAAAGTTAAGAGACACAAATAGCACATGTACAGGTTGTAATTATTTAGCAAACAATAAAACTTGTACAGACCTTTAAGTTCAAAATAAAACTTTCTTGAACAAACTTTGCAAGTTGAGAGCCATCTTCCTTGTTAAGAAAAATGCATACACTATCGACATCCATCACCAAATTAAAAACTACACGTCCTTTTCCATACCCAAGCAAACCTTTAACCAAAGCACAACCACCATCTTCCTCTTTTCTCTCTGCGTCAACACTATTTGTATTATTTTCATTGATTGCTGCAGCTGAATTAACCTGACTGAGTCTAAAGCCAAATTCAATCAAAGTAAAAAGAGTAGGTCTGTTGCAAAAGAACTCCAATGCTGACATCCGGATATTCATCTGCAAAATAATTATATAAAAGGAATGATCTTGATATTCATCACAAAAGTCTTCGGTAAGCAGTTTTACATTATCAATACCTGCGTATCAATACCATCATAGAGAGTTGAATCCGGGCTTCTCGAAACAAATGTGACAACCACAAAATCAGAAATATTAGTATCCCATGCCTCATAGAAAACCTCACCGCTCCTCTCTTTTACATTCCTGAGACTCAAACCACTATCAAAACTACACCCAGAGTACTGATCGAAGGAATCAAGAGTAAATAATGAATTATGAAATGTTTGATCAGGAGTGCTCATGAAATCCGACAGTGCATCTATAAAACAATCATCCTCTTCTAAAAAAGACTTCTGCACCTCGGTATCTACCCCAGAAACAGGCTTTTGCTTCACCACAGACTGCGCTAAATACTGAGGCTGTGCAGAAAGTTGACCTTGAAGCTCGTCCACAATTTTTAGTGAATGAAGCTTTGTTTTGATAGTTAGGTTAGAACTTGATCTAAAAAGATTAACCTGTAACAAGGAAACGTTAAAATTATTCAAAATGTCGATAAAACTTTCTATATAATCCAAAGACAATGAAGAACACAATGTGTCATGAATTTCATATACCAGTCTAAGAGAGACCAAGAGAAACCCCAAAATAGTCCCCCAACTATTTGTAAGTACCTCATTTAGTCCTAGTGCTTTGCACTACCCCAATTTAGTTAATTGAATATTAAAATTTAATCCAATTTGATCCCTCTATAAGAAAAAATACCAAAATTAACAAAATGTTTTATGGATCTCCAACTTTTCAAAATGTGAGGGGACATTTAAGTATAAACATTTAAACTTCGCATTTCTTAAGTGGACTTTTTCTTAGTTTGTAAAAAAGGTTTTGAAGTCTTGTAGCCAATGATATCATTTTTATAATAAAGATTTTGGAATTTTATAATTAGTGACTACTTTTTTGCAAAAAGGGTTTTAGGATTTTGTATAATCTTTCATTTAGATTTTGCTTAAAAAACAATGTTCTTTTACAAATATTCACCCTTATAATTTAATAGGTTAACTTTTATATTAATTTTTGTATTTAATATAACTAATTAGCTGAAACATTAGAGCAACATAAACAATATAATCTCACATACGCTCGCACTATCTAAAATACCCTCATATTTAACTTTGATGTTAACTTTAACGCTTATTTTAGGCCAGGGGACCAAATAGGATCAAATTTTAATACAACAACAACAACATCAAGCCTTTGTCTCACTACGTGGGATCGGCTACATGAATCCTTTTCTAATATTTTCTAACCAAGTCTTTTTAGGTCTACCTCTACTTGATCAATTTTTAATAGTCAAAGGAAAAAATGGACCAATGCGACAGTTTCGTTTTGAAGATTAAAGACCTTAATTTCAATTATTATTCTTTCATCTAAAATATTTTGTAATTGATTTGTATGAGTGATTAAGATATTGACAAATTCATTACATACTAATTTTTGTTTCTATGACATGAATCTTAATTGTTGCAGAATTCTATATCCGTTCACATATTTCATATGAAATTTTATAACTACTTTTACACCACCATTTGGTACGAATTAAAAGTGTTCAGTGATTATATATTCTTCAAAGAAAATAATCTTTGCCAAAATAAAAAATTACCAGCTAGTGCTTTATAAAAACCTAAATAAAAATATAACCAATAATTTGATTTTTTTTTTTTTTAACATAGAATTGAATTTATTATAACAAAATTAATAAACATAACTTGTCAATCTTGCATAACCTTTAATCATGAATATGCTAATTACTTCCTGGCCTTTTGTTAAAAGCAATATTATAATAAGAAAATAATCTGAGTACGGCAAGGATAATTAACTAGAATTGCTAGGGTGCAAATAAAAAAAAAAAAAAACAACGCAGCAAATGCATAAAGCATGAAAGGAACAATTGAAACATCCAAAAGCATGAGAAAACAGCAAACGAGAATAAAAGATCAATTGGATCGCCTTACATGAAGCATGATGAAAGCTAAAGAATTGTGATTTTTTTTTTATTACAACCCCACAAGTAAATAGAATTTGAAACGTCCTATCCACCAACATACCATCATTCGTGCTTCTTCCTTTAGATCATCAGCTTGTTAATCACCATGATCATCTATGTCTTCATTAATGGGAGAAGTGAGGGAATAGACGCAACCAAAGAATCAAAATTTATTTACTTTTTTTTGCTGAATTTTCTATTTAGGAGATGCTGGTGTTCACTCTTTTAGAGAGAAAAGGTTGGGGAGAGTTCTAGAGTGAAAGAGAGGTAGTTCTATCTTTGTTTAGAGACGCAAAGTGAGGGGAAGATGAAAGAAATAGTTTTCTCTCTTTCTATTTAGAGAGATAAAGAGGGGAGAAAATTTTTTTAGTTTCTCTCTCTCTATTTAGATAGAGAAAATAGAGATTGAAGTATGGAGTTTGAGGGGGAGGTTTACGTGAAGAAGAGAGATAGGTGGAGAGTGGCGAGATTTGGAAAGAAAACTCAATCTCTCTTTGTTTAGAGGGAGGGAGAGAGAATAAAGGAGAAAAAATAGATGGAATGAAGGAGAGGAGCTAGCCAGATTTGAAGGGGGAAGAAGGTTGCATGGAGGTGGTTGGTGGCTGGTTGGCAAGATGTGTAGGTAGATATGGCAAAGGGACGTGCATGGTTGTTGCGGTGTAGGCAGGTTGGTCAGCTGCTAGGCAACTTGGTGGTCGTGCATTTGCGAGCAGGGAAGCATCGACTGGATTATTTATGTGTGTTTCTGAAAGTTATTAGGATTTAGTTCTCTTAGGCTCTATTTATAGTTTTTTAATAAATCAAAATAGAATAAAAATGACAAAACACATTTCTATCGAGAGATTCCCAAAAATTTTAATTTTTTATATTTTAAAACTTTTTTTAACATTATTTAATCTGTCTAACAATTAAAATAAGAAATTTTCAAATAAATTTATATTTTAAGAGAATAATATCTACTTTAAATTCTCATCAATTCCCTCGCTAAATTTTCAACATTCGTGTGCATCTAATTTTGCCTTGTTGCGCACGGGCAACTAGAATTTGGCATTTTTCTAATGCGGGCACGTGATAAAATATGATGGTCCTTTTCAAGCAATTTAGACATTTCAGAAGGTACTGTGAAATATGTTTTGTGATCGAAGATAATTCAGGCAACTTTGCACAACATCAAGCTCATAACTTGTCATTTTAGAACGATGTCACTCGAGTCAATCAAGAGAGGTCTTTCTTGGGTATTTTGGAAGTTTGAACGCATTGATGCAGTCCTCTTCATAATCACAAATCATTTAGACAATTTCATGCAACATCGCGCTCGTAGTTCATCATTTTTTGTGTTCGCCAGAGTCACAAATGAAGGGTGCTTATTTGTAATTTTAGTGTTATGAATAAGCACGTGTGGTCTATTTTTCAAGGGTATATCATCTCGATGATTTTATGTAGCATTGGGGCACATCAAGCCCGCCTCGTGCAATGTCATGTTAGTCGACCTTCGTTTCACTAGACTTCCCTGTATTATTATAAAACACATTTTAAGTATATATATATATATATCAATGTTTAAAATTGCATATTCAAGTATTGCGGCATTTTTCATTCGTGAGCAAGGCGTATGCCTCAAGGCGTTTTGAGGCGTAAGCCTCAAAATCAAAAAATTGCATAAACATAAAATGATAAATTTTTTATATACTAATGAGTGAATAATATAAAACATAAAAAAGCATAAGATATGAAGTGAAATCAAAATATCCCAATAATAAGACAACATGAAATATAGTTCAACTCAAAATTCTATATTTCCCAAATTCTAGTATTCTTTTTATTAACATATAATTCCAATTTCAAAAAATAAACATATATATATATATATATATATATATATAGTTTCGATGAAAATACTAAAGTGGTTCACCAAGGGGTGTGGTGATGTAGGAGACTAGCGGCATGGAGATAAGAGAAATTAATATCAATAAAACAAGAGAATGTTGGATACAATGAAGCCAAGAGATTTAGATAAAGAAAAAAGACAACAAAGAGCGTGAGGAATTTGGGTTTCGAGCAAATTATGTGCGGCTCGCTCTCATAAAAAATTTGGGTATAAGATTGTGAATCAAAAGAAGTGGTTGTAGTCATTGCTAGTGTTTAGGTTAAAGAAGATCTATGAAGATCGATGGCGATTGCAAAGAAACAACTGATAGTTCACCAGCAAAGCAAGATTAGAAGGTTGTAAGTAAATTGATGAATGGTTCGGTGAGGTTGCAAATGATCAAGGGTTGAGGAGAGGAAAGCTTCGACAAGATTTGCTCAAGGAGAATAAGGATAAGAAGATTGTCATTGACAGCTTGTTGACTGAAGGAAGGAGTAAATGTTGAAGTGCTCTGCGAGTGAGGAAGCAACACAATTAGGGCTATTGCTCAATTGGGCATGCTAAACTTGTGGAGATTTGTGGAGGAGTTGGGAGAAAGCAATGAATGGTAGCTGCTAATTTAGAAGAGCGAGATATTTTTAGGGAGAGAAACAATAGAGTTGTTGAATAAAAAAGAACAGGTAAGTACTAGGATTTTAAATGAGGGTTGAATCGCCCTCACGTGTTGTATGAAGCTATAGGTTTACAAGTTCTGAGGCACGGGTGCGATTAATAGGTAGGAAGGTCGCACTCGCTCATTTTCAATTTTAGATTTTATTTTATTGTTATTAACCAAAAATTTAATGCCAAAAATGTTTAGGAGCTCACGAAAACCAAGTAGCACACAAAACTTCTATGGATTTTATTTAATAATAGTCATTAAAAATTTTGTCTAATTGAATATTAATTATAATCATGTGGGCTTCAAAAATTCACGCCTCGGCCTCTCAGCGCCTTCTTTTGTTGACAGGGAGAGTTATAATGGATTTAAGTTCATAGTAAATTTTCAGAAGGTAGATTGAGTATTAGATAAAACAATACCAAGAGATTCACACCCATCATTTTGCGAGGACTTTAAGATTTGAGTTATGGTTTCCTATAGGTGCAAGCCTCTATAGTTAATTACCTCTACAGATAATAAGAGAGAATTTTGGATTAAGGCTAATTATGAAATAGGCACTGAGGACCCAACATATAGTAGAAGCAACTTTAAGGTCTGAATTTGATATTTGAATTTAGGTTAATGATTTGAAATTTATCATCGTATACTTAAAAGTTAAAATTGGTGATTGGGGGAGTAAAGACGAGCCCAATCAAGATCCCACGGTTCAGTCTTCATGGACTGTCAAGGTCCCTAGTTTGCTTAGTTAGAGGAGGTAGTTGACCCAACCTGACAAAAGGAGCCTTTTTTGTAACCATGAGTTGCTCCGTCCAAAGACACCTTGTAGACATGGGCTAAATGTTCGTATTTTTATGAGAATTTAGGAAGCATCATGAAAATATGAGATCCCCTCAAGTTGATAATTTCTTTCAACACAACGATCATCGGGAATGTAGATAATTAGTTA